GGCTCAAAAAAGCCATGTGGTCCCTCACCAATGTAACGGCACAGGTGGCATCACTGGCTAATAACGGTGATACCAGTCCAGCTAACCTTGTGAAAGGTGTCCAAGGCCCTACCTGGAAGAGGGGTCATCAGAGGCATCACCACAGGGTGACCTGAAGCCATGGACACTCCCTAACCCAGTTCACCAACAAGCCACACAGGCTGTGGGAGCACACTGACCACCAGGGGGCAGCTCCTGTGTTGAGCATCTGCCCCCTGATGGTCAGTGCGCATCATAGCTACCGGTTGGTTATCCGGTCATAACGGTTGCTTAGGCTTTTATATATAGATATAGAGAGAGATAAGGTTCATTTTTTATATCACAGGAGACATTAAAATAATTGTGGGTGATCTGATATTGTCCCTTGCAAGCCACCTTCCCGCCCTGCAGATACACCGCTACCACGCAGCTGGGAAAGAAGACTGTAAAAATGACAGCAAGACCATATAAGTGTCCATCGTTAGCCGCTGGGGGGTGGGGGATGAGTCTTAAAACAAATGATTCCACATGGACGGAAAGGGGCAAGGTTGGTTGCTAAGCTGCAATATAGAAATCAACAAAAATAACCTTCAAGGTAATATTTGAACGCTAACTACCCTCGAGTTAAAATTCCCAAAAGCAAAAGTGATTTAGATTCGAATCTCCTTTGACGCAGACATTCTACTTACATGCATATATGGATGCACCACATTTTGTTCATCTGCTGATGAACGTTTGCACTGTTTCCACTTCTTGGCTATTACGAATGCTGCTGCTATGGAGAGAAGTGTACAAAACAAGTCTAACCCTGGAAAAGGCTGTCTCTCCCCTATTACTTCTCCCACCCAAACTTTCTCTCCTAAACAGGTAACTACTGTTGAATCTTTCCAGAGATAATGGATCTTTTTGCAAGCATCCTACACAAATGGAAATCCAAGTATTCTGCGCCTTGCTTTTTTACTTTAAGTATATTAAAGATGGTTTCAGCCCTACCCGGTTTGGCTCAGTGGATAGAGCGTCGGCCTGCGGACTGAAGGGTCCCAGGTTCGATTCCGGTCAAGGGCATATACCTTGGTTGCGGCCACATCCCCAGTAGGGTGTGTGCAGGAGGCAGCTGATCGATGTCTCTCTCTCACCGATGTTTCTAACTCTCTACCCTCTCCCTTCCTCTCTGTAAAAAATCAATAAAATATATATATTTTTTAAAAAGATGGTTTCATATTGGCACAGAGAGAATAGTCTCCTGTCAGTGGTGCTGGGGTAGTTCACCGGCTACATTTCCCTTTATCTTTTAACCTGTCCCCTACTGATGGGCATTTAGGTTGTTTCTGTTTTGCCACTGCCAATAATGCCACCACAAAATTAGTGTACATGCCTCTGTACATGTATGCCAGTATATTCAGTGGAATAAATTCACGTAAATAGATAGTTGTGTCAAAGGGGGCTTAATATAAATCAAATTTTGCTTCCAGGAGATTTTAATTAAGAAAGGTAAAATATAAGAGATTCCAATCTGACCGTTGCTTGAATGAAAGGGTATAAAATCAGCAGCATCACTGGAAAATGAGCCATCCACTGCATAATAATTTTTGCTAATATCCTTGAGTTAAAATTCACATAAAATTAAATTCACCCATTTAGAATGCACGATTCAATAGTTTTTAGTGTTAGTATGCTCACAGAACTTTGAAACAATTCACCACAACCTACGCAATCTAAGTTTAGAACTTTGTCATCATACCATAGCACATTCCATATCACAGCATTCACTCTCAATCCCCACCTCACCCCATTTCCAGCCCTCGGCAATCACTAATCTGCTTTCTGTCTCTACAGACTTGTTGCTTACAAACATTTTCTATAAACAGATTCATACAACATTTTGTATTCTGTGTTTGGCTTTCACTTAGTATAAAGCTGTTAAGGCTCATCCATACTGCAGTGTGTATCAAAACCGCATTCCTTTTCACTGCAGTATAATATTCCACTGTGTGGCTACAGCACATTGTGCTTATCCATTCAGCCCCCAAAGGCCTTTTGGGGTTGATTTGTATTTGGGGGCTGTTACGAATAATGCTGCTATAACCATTTGTGTCCGAGTGTTTGTGTGGACATGCTTCCATTTCTTGTGGGTACATACCTATGAGTGAGCAAATGAGTGAACAGACAGAAACATGCATAAATATTTTTAATGTAAGTGTCACCGGAGGAAAAAGGGGAAACCAAAACATCTACGCCAAACACATTAACCAGAAAACTCTAACAATACTCTGATGCCAGAGTACAAGGTAAGATCTTCAAAACCTTCCAAAATACGACCTCTATTTGATAATAAAAATGAATGTAAAAAGTACATATATGTCCATACACATTAGGTCAAAACGAACCCACAGCTGTCACCAGCCCAGTAAACAGAAGAAACGTTCTGTTGGTCCCAACCGGCGGCCTGCCATGCTCTCCCCTCAGGCCTCCTCCTGGAAAAGTCTCACCTCCTGTGCTCTGTGTGCAACTCCATCCAGTCAACGTGCTCTGAACGTGCACCTTGCTCCATGCACCGTGACAGACAGAAATTCATAAAACCCTTGCCTTCTGGTTCTCAAGAAATTCCAATTTTAGTGGGCTACTTGTTGGTAATTGTATGTAGAGATGTTAAGATATAAACCAAAAAAAGCTAACTTTGTTCTCGACAGGGCCACAGAGCAAATATCTCGGGCTCTGTATGCCACATATGGCCCCTAATGAATATTCTGTCTTCTTTTTTTTTTTCTTTACAATCTTTTAGAAACATAGAAACCATTCTTAGCTCAGAGGCCAGAATGGGTATAAAACTATACCCACAGAGAACAATTACATGTGTAACTTTACCAACTACACATGCTGGATAAAATTTAAAATTCAAAAATACGTGTTATAATTGCCTCAATTCAATTCTGGCTTTTTTTTTTTTTTTTTTTTTTTACTAATTGTTTGCTTATTTCCAAGACTCTGTTAATACCAATGTTATTTCTTCCACAGGAGCCTTGATAATTGGTGAAATAAACTCTTTTTCTGCCCCTAAGTGGCACCTACCCTCCAATTCCCCACTGAAGCTACATTCTGCAAAGTTAGCTGGGATCTTGTGGAATACCAGGTCCTAGTAACACACCCACATAAAATCTCTTCCTGTACTAATCCCTCTGTATTAACGCAAATGGTCTAAGCTACATGGTGAACAAACTTCCAAATCTCAGGGGCTTAATACAACAAACAAACTTTCTTACTGTCCAGTGTGGGCCAATGGGAAGCAGAGTTGGGCTCTACTCCACACAGTCATTCATGGATCAGACTATTGGAGACCCCAACACCTGGAACACAGAGTCCCCAAAGTCACTGTGGCAGGGATAGAGAAAGCATGCAAGTGGCACACTAGCTCTTAAATGTCTTGACTAAGAATGATACCCAGCCCTTCTGCTTCTGTTTCTTTGGTCAGAACTAATCATATGGTCCCACCTCACTGCAAGGGAAGCTGGAAATTGTAGTCTTCCCAGTGTGCTCAGAAAGAAGAGCAAGAGCTAAGAGTTCTATAGGAAAAGCTCAAGTAGATGCAGGACGCCAGAAATGACCTCACCAAGGCTGGGTGTGCCTCAAGGATCTCAGTCATACACTAGCATGACCACTAAGGTGTGGTATGTAGACCACTCATGCCAAAATACACCCACGTTCACCATCCTTAGGCTCTCCAGGCTGGTAAAGCCACGTCACCATAGCACATTCCTGACCTCAGTGCAGCAGAAATGAACAGGGGTTGCCTACTCATCTCTGGGGTTATGTTATCAGGCTTATCTGATAAACAGTTCCAAGATGAATCAAACTGTAGGTGTATCTAAAGCAGCGGTTCTCAACCTGTGGGTCACGACCTCTTTGGGGGTCGAACGACCTTTTCACAGGGGTCGCCTAAGACCATCGGAAAACACATATATAATTACATATTGTTTTTGTGATTAATCACTATGTTTTAATGATGTTGAATTTGTAACAATGAAATTGGGGGTCACCACAACATGAGTAACTGTATTAAAGGGTCGCGGCATTCGGAAGGTTGAGAACCACTGATGTAAAGCAATATCACACAATGCTACCGACAGCACATATGCACGGAAACGCATGTCTGAGAACAGAATGAGAATCCAACCGCTAACTGGTCATTTTGACAAAAAAAAAAAAAAAAAAAAGACCCTGAGCCCCTCCCTCCAGGACCCCATGCCTCTCCTTCACACCCTCCCCTCCCCTGGAGGACACAGCACATAAAGACTATCTTACCTCTGTACACCCACAATGCCGCACTCAGTACTGTGTACCTAGTAAGGTGCTCAACAAGCACGTCTTTATTTGAATGAAACCATGAAAGGAAGTGACTCAATGAGACGACAGTGGAAGCTGAGTCCTGTTAGCGCATGGCCTCTCCCCTAGCAACATTCCAGGGTTAAAAACCTGGGACAGAGGGAGCTGCGCGTTTCCCAGAAGGATCTGGGAGGCATGCGGGGCGGGGAGCCGAGTTGGACACTGGCTCACAATGCCCCAAGGACACTGACAAATCGCCCAATAATAACCCGTGTGAGCCTCAGATGCCACTCCTCAGCGCGGCTCCAGAAGAGCCAAAGGGAATTATTCATTAGCGCGTGTGAATAACACTGGGTACCACCAGCAGACTGTGTTTGCCTTTGCTGAATTATTCATGAGCGTTTGTGAGCCGTGTCCAACCCAAAGGGTGTGTTAAACCCATCCAGATTGTGAGGCAATGTTTGTTTTCTTTCAAAAAGATTTTACTTAAAAAAAAAAAAAAAATCCCTCCAAGCTACAGTTCTTGCATTTCAGACCCGTTCTAAATCTGGCTACACAAGCGGGTGAAGAGTGGCACGCCCAGGCAGAAAGGGCTAGCGGGGACCTTATTGAATATGCATCGTTATCATGACAGGCAGGCGACTGAACCAATGCTTGTTTACCTGTCCGCGTCTTGCCTTTTCAGATGTTGCGGGGTCAAAGCCAGTAGGAGTTCTACAATGAGATTCCTAGGTGGAGGGAAAGAAAAGTCCTTTGAGTCCTGTCACAGAGCAGATGCAAATTTAATTACAGCGCGTTAAGCTTTCCATCTTGTCTAGGTGTCCTTGGAAAGCAACTGTAAACAACAGACACTGGGCCATCAGGTGTCAGGGGCTCGTTTGATCTGCTCGGAAATGTCACAGATCCCTGCCAGGACCTGAGTTGGGAAGGGGAACAAAGAGAGAGAACAGAGGGTGTTGCAGGCAGGGGGGCGATG